GCCGCGCCGGGGCGTTGCGGCGGCGCTGCGGGCCGGACCGAACGAACGTGTGGGAGAGTTTGGACAGCAGGCCCGCGAGGGCTCGACGCCCCCGCCCCGCTATCGCTATCAGGGCCAAGGGGAGGGCAGCAGCGGGCAGCGCGAGGCTGGGCAGCTGGGCACCCGGCCCGGCCCGGCCGGGGTCGGCGTTCGTTTGCGCGACTTGCTCGGTCGCGTGCGAAGACGTGTGGAACTCTTCATACTGACGCACCGGGCGGCGCGAGCGAGGAGGAGGGGGGGTCCGCTAACCCGCGGATAATTCCACGCCCGGCGGTGCAGCGAGGCTCGCCCCGTCTCTACGTATTTTTGTTGAACCACCTTCGCGATGCCGCCCTTGGCACAAACATTCGCACGCAGCGAAAAGTGTGGAACCGGATGATTTTGCAGCGGCGGGCACGTTGCGAGTAAATAAACAAAAGTCAGCGGTTCGGCGTCCGCATAGGTCCGCATGTAGACGACACGGTGACATTGGAGGCTTCTGTTCGCTTTGTGGCGGAGGCCGATGGCGCCCATTGTGCGCCTCAACGCCGCCGCCGCCGCCGTGTTGTGTGTGAACGGGGGAAAACTCCGATAGACTTTCGACGGAAACTGGGCATGGCCCTCCGGTGCAGCTAGATTGTCCGACCTATTTTCGTGTAGCCTGGTGATTTTCCCGGATTTCCTAGTTCGTCCGGCCTATTTTACTCCGGCCCCGTCGATATGCTCAATATGGGAGCTCCTATATGGGAGGAGTGGGAGGGAAGGGTCGCGGGTGCGACTTTATGCAGTTATGGGCTTCAGTCCGAAAACAAAAGTCCTGAGAGGGAAGGCTCTGAGCTGGATTGGAACACCAACCGGGATCACCCCGACATTGTGTCGGAACACTTTTGATTATGCAGCTCGTTTTATGCGGCCGGCAGGCTGCGCGTCGCCGCGACCTCCGCAATTCAGGACGGTTCAGACCTTCCCCAACGCGAAATGCATTGCGAGTGCGTCTTGCCGTCGGCCGGGAGCCGGTTTCTCATCCGGAGGGGAGGCATGGAGGTCGTGGCCCTGGAGTCTTTGGAGCCTGGAGCGGAGCGGCGTGCGCGGAGGCCGCTGGCGCTGACTCGAGCAAGTCGATAATACGGGGTGTCCTGAAGGCTGATTCGTGTTTTCTTTTGGTCATGCTGCTGAACCACATTCAGATAGGCTCGCCAGCTTCATGGAGGTCGTCGCTCACCGTGTTGCCTGTTCCTGAGCGAGTATGCTACCCGCCCGAACTCTTGTATGCGGTACAGTCTAACTCAACGGGGGCTGTCTTTGTGACACACTGTATGTTTCATCCAAGCCGTGTCGACGCCGTATCTCTTGCGGATAACCACGACTCCAGGCGTATTTTTAGCAGATGATACCTTAAATAGCTTTTGACTGAACATAAAGAATATATAAGTAACTTTAAGGTGTCAGCTAGCTTGTACTCTCGATAAGGGAAGAAAACCAAAGCGCATGACGTCACCCAGATGTATAAGGGGCGCGAGAAGTCGCCGGCCCGCCCGCCGCCCGCCGCCCGCCGCCCGTTCCCACCAACAATACCCAACAATACTGAGCCACGGATGCCGGCCGGCCTGCCTGCTGCCCCCTATCTCTTCCTCTATGCCATGCGGCTAGTCCGTTGAATTGCAAGAAAGGAATTGCTAAAAGTAACAAACAGCCATAAACAATTAACAGCAAAATATGAGAGAAAATTAGTGCAAAGACATATCCTTAAATTTGTATCATCTGCTTTCACGATACGTCCCTCGACGTAGCTTTTTTTCCTTGATCCACTCGGGTGCGGGCTGTTCACGCGCCCGGCTGCGGGCGCGTCGGCGGCGGGGGGCAATGAGGTAGCTCATGGCACTCATGGCGCCCAATCAAATGTCATTAATGCATGACACTGACACCGCCGCGTGTCGGAGGAGTGACGTCAGCCCCTCGTCTGCTCTGCCCCCTACCCTTCCCCCCACCCCCTCTCCAGTGCCCCCTGGGGGGCTCTCTCCCCCGCCTCATGTCAGCCTGCAGCTCAAGCCCATGTCAGGTCCCCTGTTCGCTCCGGGCGGGACCCTTGTCTGCCCGGGGGCTCTGGTGTGTCCATGGGGGCCAGGAGGAGACGAGGCAGGGCGCAGCAGCAGTCGGGCACGTTATTGGAGCGGTTCAGGCCCTCATTCCTTTCAATCAGTGCGGGCCTAACCAGGCGGGGCGGGGCGGGGCGGCGGACACCGCGCCCGCGCGCGATCGACAAAAACACTTTGATACTCGTAAGTAAGTACGCAGTACGTCGGTCGTGCGTCTCTCTCGCGACGACAAATAACGTGCCGTCTATAATGGCAGATGTGGATGTCGTCGGGACGTTTGGCAGATGGAGATGAACTGCTCCATTTGGTCGTGTTGTTGGCCGTGGGAAGAAGTGGGTCGTTGTCCTGTGCTGTGCTGGCCCGGTGCGGGCGTGGTGTGCTCGCTTTGCTCTCCAAATATGTGTAGCAGAGATAAACGCCCAGCAGCAGGCCTCCCTCGAGCTTTGCGCGGGCGATAGCGCGGCGGGAACCGAGGACCGGGACAGCGAGAGGGAGAGAGAAGCAGGGAGCAGCGCGCCGCCCCTAACCCGCTCTCACTCGCTCCCCGTTAGCCTCTCTTTGCCCACCGCACGCTCTTGTTCCGTTCTTCCTCTTATCGGCTATGCACTCCAGCCCGGCGACCGCCGACCGGCCCTTTGCAGCCGCGGGGGCTCGCCTTTGCCACGCCGCCCCTCCACGCCCCCTATGCACTTACCGGAAAGCAAACACCAAATACGCACAGTAGCCACACAACACATTGGACATGGACAAGTGCAACCAGAAAAGACCAGCTTTGATTCAAGGAATGGCAAGGACTCTATCTGTGCCAGGTGGCTGATTAACCCCGCTCACTTCTGTAGTTATGCTGTGCCGCTTTCCTGCGTGTGGGCGGGTTGCCTATTCGCTCAGCCCCTAAAGCGCTGTGGACAGGGTGATAGGATAGGCAGGCCCGCACACACTCGTGCGTGCGGTACAATTCCCTAACAGAAGTGCGCGGGGTTAATCAGCCACCTGGTAATTTATATCGACCAGCTGGACTAAAAATATGAAGGAACGTTAAGTGACGTTATTTTCTTTCGTCATTTCGTTCACTCTGTAATTTTACTCCGTAAGTACTTTTCGCTGTGTGGCGCGTGAGGGCGTATCTTACGCCAGCAGGCCCCCTATGATCCGCAAACGACGCGAACAACTCCCGGACCAAATGATCATTCTTCTGTATCAGGCACCTCTCTGTCAGGCACCGACACATCGCACATTTTCTTTCTATCTTTCCTTCTGTGTCGGTCGTGAGAACAAGAGTTTTTCATTACTTTTAGCTCGTCGTGCTCAGGCCACCGCGACTTATACAACATGGCCCAATTTAGCGGTTGGGCCGCCGGGGCGCCCGTATCGTATACATACCTAGCCAAGTGCTGCCGTCAGCGACCGCCCAAAAACCTTATGTGTTTACCTAACGCTCTGGCGCCCCCGACTCGGGACCCGCAACGACAGTCGGCGCCAAAATAGAAAAACCAGTTGGTTTTCGGTGGTCTGTAAACTCAGCCGTGCGGTACTACGCCCCCCCCCTCCCCTCCCCTCAAAATCTCTCTTTTGTTTCTCCATCGAGAAGCCCTTTCTTCGCGGAAGCATTTGAAACAATGTAAATAACTGTCTTCTGTCTTCGATCAGACCGTACCGCACTGACCTTTCCTGACCCTGCGATCCTAATTGTTTTCTGGATCGCGCGTTTCTTTCGGGATGGGTGCCTGGCGCCAGGCAGGCCGCGCCTGTTGACCGACCACTGGCCGCTTTGCAATGCTAAGGCGGCGGGTGGTGGCCGAGCACCGTGCGGGGGAGAGGGGAGAACAGTGCAAGTCACACTGCGTCAGGACTCTAGCTACACCTTGCCAGAAACTTTCTGAAACGCATTTTCGATTATCTGCTTGTGGACTGGAGGAGCGCGATCATACTGAGGAGAGTATAAGGCAAAGGAGAGGAAAGGGGAGGGGGTAGGGGGGGGGGGGTGAGCGAAGCGACTCTGGAGCCTGGAGCGTGCTCAGGTGAGAAAAGAGGCGGGAAACGGCTTCTTCCAGGTAAACGAGAATGAGCAAGGTGGTTGAGCAGGAGGGGGGAGGGGGTGAGGAGGAGGAGCGGAGGGGGGGTAAACATTGCGCGCAACGAGCGCACAGCGAGGAGAATGAGGGAGGTGGTGGTGGGGGGGCTGAATGGATGGAAAAGAGGGAGAGGCCTACTACGAACGTGGTCAGTTTCGGAGGTGGAGGTGGTGGGGGACAATGTGGGGGAGAGGGACGTTGGGAGGGAACGGGGGGGGAGGGGAAGAGAGAGAAAGAGAGACGGGGCACCTGGATTGTGCGGCTCTGTCGACGCCGCGCCGTTCCCTCGTTCGCTCGCTCCAGATAGAGAGAGAGGAGAGGCAACAGTTCTTGCGCCGAGTCCCTGCCGCGAGGTCCTGCCTAGCGGAGCCCGCGGAGCCCCGAGCGCTCTCTCAGTCGAGCCGAGCAAGAGAGCCTTTCAGTTGCCTTGGCTTTCGCAACGCGAGAACGTGAGACGACGTCGGCAGCGCGTAGAGCCCGTCGTCGGCCTTTGGCGTTTGTACAGGGCGCCGCCGTCAGTCAGTGCCCCCGCGGCCCCGAGCAGTGCGACCGCAGCTGGATAACCTCTCCGCAGCCATGGGCCAAGCCAAGGTAACGATCAATTAAGCGCAAGGAGCAGCAGCTTGCAGCAGCTCACCTGCGGCCCGGCGGCCGGGAGGTATACCGAGAGGCTGCCGGTGACCGCGGCCCCGCGGCCACCGTGAAGTGAAGTGCGATAGGTTGACTGACCCGCGGCCCAGGGGGAAGCACCGCGTGTGTCATGTACTGATGGAAAAAGTGTTCTGACACCTGTGTGACACTGTGCGCGTCACGCCTGATGATGTCTTCACCTTAAAAACTTGTGCGGCGGTGTGGTTGACTTTTTGGTTTATCTCTCATATCAGAGACACGTGAGAAAAGTTGACATTTTCAGGGATTTTTCTCTCGCCCTGCTTGTGTATAAGCTGTATGGAATGTGAATGTCACACGCTGGAGTGCGGGTCGTGGTCGGGCCCCCCTATCTGCAAGGCTAAAGGTCATATCATAGAGCTCGCAATAACTTTTCGACTACCGGTCTCGATCTTGCAATAAGCAGCCCCCCACCCCCCGTCAAAAAACTCTTCAGCGTTGTTGTTTGCATATTTGCAGCCAAAATCAGGCTTCCAAAACACGAACAAATGTTTGTTACTCAACGTAACTAAAAACATGTCAAATTAAAAGTTCAAATTATCGACTTTGAAATCTGTGGAAAAAGTTTGGATAAGTCGAATAACTAACTTATTTCCAAAGGATTTCAATAAAAGTTACAAGTTATAAATTTAACTCCTAAAATAACGTTAAAGTAAGTTGTAATGAGTTACGGAGCCGTGGCCAAAATGCTTAATTTTGGGAGGACGGCGGCGTCTGAGATTCAAAAGGACATTGCGCGAGCTCTCCAATAAATGACGCCCTTCCAGGCGGTGCCGCGGTACAGTATGGCGTCCTTTCCATCGTGTCCCGCTACCTCGGTGACGTGACCACCACGTCGTGCACGTGTTCGCGCCTCGTCACGTCCCCCCCGGGGGCGTCCCCCAGTGCCGTGCGTCCGGCCACGCTGGAGTGCGGCGCTCTCGCGCGGGTGCCTCGCGCCTCGCGGTGCCGTCGCGCGCAGGCCCGGGCCGCTTCCTGCGCGCCGGCAGTGTCCATCAAGTAATAAGTCCAGCCGACGCCCACCTCGCCCCGCCCCGCCCCGCCCCGCCCCGCCACACTCGCCCGCGCCCGCTTCCGTCCAGCTCCCCGCTCTCTGGGCCGGCTATGGGCGCGGCTATTCCTGGACGACAGACCCTGCCCCTGCCAAGCTATCCCTTTAGTATATCTGCCTCGAAGGCCTTTTCGTTTCGCGTCTAATTTTTTTGGAGGCAGGGGCGTGCCGGCCGGCCGGCCACACCCTCCGCCGCCCACCCGGCGCGGGGACGGCGCCCCCCAGAGGAGCCTCACTGTGGCCGCCCCCCGCAGACACAAAACCCATGCTAAACTCGGCCGCTCCCGCCCGTCGCCCTTCCGCCGGTATGTATTTGTTTTTATGACAGGCAACAACAAACGCGCCGTCCTACCCAATAGTGCTGTATAACCCCCTCCCCCGTCCCCTCTCCCCCGCGTCAATGTGCGGTTCCCCCGCGGCGCCTCGCGTTTGGCGCCATAGTCGCCCGCGCCGCGCTTCACACCCCCGTGCGAACGAGTTGCTGCGCTGCTGCTGCGCAGGGTCTGCTGTGCTATGCACAATGCAGCCTGGGCAAAAATAAAAAGGAACCGCTAAAAAAAATCATCTGGAGAATTAATTTGCCTTGTAGCCAGGCGTCGATAACACCCAACTTCACGCACCGGGTGTGTATACCGTGGGAAGTGTTTTGCCGACTTTGTCTGGCAACACTGTCCGAATAAGGGACTGCGTCTAGAAAAGGTTTCGCTGTTGTGTTTAGCGCAGCGCGGAAAACCACCGCGCCGGCCAATGGCCAGCCAGGCCGACCGTGTTGGGCTGTTGGGCTGCGCACACACACGGGTTGACTCGGGTTTACTCAACCGGACGTGTGCGGGACGGGCCGGGTTGTGTGTTTACCGGCGCGGTCGGTCACGTCGGCCCTCAAGTCGAGTCGAGGCTGGGACTCTAACCCCCACGTGGTGCTGCGGCCAAAGGGTACTGCACTGTGTTTGAGGTGGCCGTAGCCGCGCCGGACCCTTTTGCGCCTGCGCGGTGGGCGTGCACATCAGGGCTTTATGCTTATGCAGTTCTGAACACACACACAAAAAAAGAGTAAAACAACATTACATACCCGCGTCTCAGGAAAAGAAATACCCACTTTTTTGCGCGCGTTTGTTCACGTGGTGCTGAGAAAGCGCAACACACGAGTTAAAGCAGGATGCAATCAATGCGCTACCTTTGCTGACGCAGCGCTACAGTGGCTACAATATAGCGGAATGCTTTACTGGAAGGAACGCGTGCCTTTTCCCCAGACACACACACACACACGCACGCACGCACATTACACCACACAAACAAACACACACTCACACAATCGGCTTTACTAATGTCTCGCCGGTAAGGCTTTGCGACACCGCGGCCATAGAGCATTGAAAGAAACGGATGAGTAAGCAAGCACGACCGCGCTGCCCCGGCCCGGAATGAAGTGCGTGTGCATGCATGCATGTGAGCGTGAGTGAGAGAGAGATGGAGAGTAGGGTGGAGTGAAAATCTGGGACCGAAAAAGTACCCCTGGATTATTGTACTTCACGATATCCTAAGACTAGCGGCAGACTCCATTTTGACCCATCGGCTGACCTTCAACCTCTCTCGAGGGGTCAAAGTTAGGTCTTTGAGGAAAATTGACACTTTTTGCCCCCCTGGGCCCGCCCTAGGCATAATCCCGGAAACGGCTATATGCGGTTCGGTGCGGAACTTATATAGGAAGATACACCAGGAGTCGATACGCTGTGCGATAACATCTTCAGCTCGCCCCAGAGACATTTAGGGTGAAAAC